TAGATCGATAGATAGATCGATAGATAGATCGATAGATAGATCAATAGATAGATCGATAGATAGATCGATAGATAGATCGATAGATATATCGATAGATAGATCGATGGATAGATTCGATAGATAGAAGGAATGATAGATCGATAGATAGAAGGAAGGATAGATCGATAGATAGAAGGAAGGATAGATCAACAGAAAGATAGCTTCTTTCTAACATACCAAGCTCCTTTTGATGCATAGATGCACGGCTATATAAATTTATAGAAGCACCGATAGAAAGATAGATAGATAGTTGGTTGATAGATAGATAGATGGATAGTTGGTTGATAGATAGATAAATGGATAGTTGGACAGATGAAGGATAGATAGATAGATATAGATACCCATCCAACAACAAACTGGTTCTACAATATAAAGCAGAATTGGGCACCATGCTTTATAAATACAGTGTGTAAAATCATAAATTTGTATGACTAATAAACATTATACAGGGCGAGTATAAATAGAGTTTTGCATTTTAATAAATATAGTAAAACCTATAAACAAAGCAATTACATTTTTATTCTAATTTACTAAATTATTTTGTACAGTGTGTTATTTATTAATATATAAACTCATATAGCTAGTCACAATTAAGCGATTCTGTTTTTGAGAATCTTAAGGAATATATATACGTAATATTTACATATTCATATTTCTGCATAAAAAACATAACGTTCATAGCTTTGTCGTCAAGCTAAGTTATTTTACAAAATAGGAAAAATTAGCTAAAGTTTAATAAATCTAAGTTTTTATTTTTTCTTTGAATAAATCGTTAATATGAATGGGAAATTCATATTCCAAAAATTCGTTCTTTTATAAAAAGAATCATTCAATTTAAAAAAAAAAAAAATGAAATTAACTTTTATTTTTATTTCTGTTTTGTTTGAAACACATTTTATGAAGAAAATAGCCTCATGACAAGTACACAAACATATCATAAAATTAATAAAACACTATTATTTTGGTTTTATAGCAAGGATTAAGAAGTTTAACTGTGAGTAGATCTATTCTCGGAGCTGCTCTTCTGAACAGCATTCAGCAGCAAGAAACTGCTTTGCAAGATCAAGGAGATCAAGAAAGCTTCAGATACCAACAGAACAGCAGCTCTTTAAATAACAGAAATAAAGAAATGGGACATAGAAGTGAGCCAACAAATTTACAAGATTCTTTGAAAGACGATCTTCAAGATCATGAACATTTCGTGTTGTCAGATGAGTTAGTAAATGAGCCATCCAAGCAGCATGATGCTGATAATGCTGAAAAGATTGCTGATGAACAAGAACTGTCTTCTTATTTTCTTCCTGACCAGTTACACAGGGAGCCTACCTACCTACCTGCAGGAATATTAGTGTCTAGATAAATGTACTGCAGGAACAATATTGCTTAGATACATGTACTTCAGGAATATTATTGTTTAAATAAATGTACTGCAGGAATGCTGGATTAGTTTCTTAAAACAAACTGGAATATCGGGATCGTATTTTAGAGTCTTGTCCTACACAGCAAACAAACCACGGTCTTTCCTTCCTAGTCTGGTTTAACCGACTCTTGAGCAGTTTTATAGCAAAGAAAGTGTTGCCCTAGCTTTTCAATGTTGATTTTAGACTTGAAGCTTATGTTTATGTATTGATTTCTTTCAAACTACTCTCACTATATAAACTGTGTTTTATTTAATTCTTTATTCAGATGGTGTTACTTGGTAGAAGAGAGTTTGGATGTTTAACTGAAATAGATTGAAGTATTATAGCAACAATATAACATTGATAAGAACAATTTTTATAATGATTTCATATAATTACTTACACGAATGTCATCTATTCAGAAAGAAATCAAAGTATGTTTACATCAGCGTCCATGGTTGGTTTAAGCCTTACTGAAGCTATACTCAGGATCCAGGCATACATATGTGCGTGCGTGTAGCAATTGGAAATGTACATATTCTATACAGTAAAATGGGAATAGATCAAATGCCTAATTTCAAAACAGTTTAGTGAGCCTTTCTGTGAATGAACCCGTTTAGAAATCATCTAGTTTTGTTAGATTAAAATAGAAGACATGTTATCAATTATTATCAAGTATTAGCTGGAGTACCCGGTGTTGCACGTGGAGTAAAAAATAGAAATTTGACGACAAAAAAATTACATTTTTGAAAATTTTTGAAATCATTTTTGCCTTTGTTACCCCCTGGGGTACATGGGTTTCTTAATATTTGTTTAACCCATTCGGTCTAGCCGTTTTGCCTGCTATATCTAAGATATATATATACAAATATGCAAATCTATATACATACTTTGCTTGTCTGTTATGGTGTTTGTTTGTTTGTATCCAATAAACGTCAAAACGGCTGAACCGATGGGGCCCAAATTTTGTGTGGGACTGCAACCAAGAGAATGTTTAAAGATGATCAAAATTTTAAAAATTATTCTCAAACTAAATTCGATCTTCATTAAATGGAGAAAATCCACACATTTTTTTTCATAAAATACGCTACTTTTAAAAAAAATGTAAACAAAGAGAAAATTAATAATTATAAATTAAAAAAGAAGATGGGCGCTGAAAGCCTAGTATATGTATTATATATATATGAGCGAATAGCTTTAATTTTTAGATAAATATGTTCAGGATTAAAGTTACTTGAAATCATCAGAGATCTGAAGAAGAATGCTCCAGATCCAGATCTCAAGGTTCAGCTTGATGTTTTCGAGGAGCAAAGAGAGAGCGATGAATCTCAATCTGCAGGTATCATATTTAAAATCATGATTTACACACTTAAAATTTTAACGATCTTAATCTAAAAGATCTTGATCTGAAAGATCTTGATCTGAAAGATCTTGATCTGAAAGATCTTGATCTTTCTTTCTATCTATCTATCTATCTATCTATCTATCTATCCTAGGACCCCATGATGTAGATCTATCCTGCCACCTAGATGTATTCTATACAGTTTATAAACGGGTTCAAGATACACCTCAGGAGATTCCATTTCTATCAATCCTTCAACATTTACTCAGGTCAGATATTTTCTATCAATCCTTCAACATTTACTCAGGTCAGATATTTTCTATCAATCCTTCAACATTTACTCAGGTCAGATATTTTCTATCAATCCTTCAACATTTACTCAGGTCAGATATTTTCTATCAATCCTTCAACATTTACTCAGGTCAGATATTTTCTATCAATCCTTCAACATTTACTCAGGTCAGATATTTTCTATCAATCCTTCAACATTTACTCAGGTCAGATATTTTCTATCAATCCTTCAACATTNGGGGGGGGGGGGGGGGGAATTTCGATTTCCTTCTTCGTAGCCATTTTATGTTTAAATCGAACAATTTTTTGATGATATATTGTTTATTGATATATTGTTTATTGATATATTGTTTGTTTGATTAAAATATTGTTTATAGAAAAGGGTAATATCGAATTCTTCTGGGATAACAAAATATGTGAAAAAACAATGTACAAACATTTTTGTGTAGGCATTCTTTCATTATTGGGGAATCAAAATGTACATTTGTTATTATAACTTAGGAGATATAATATTTAATATTGATGTTGGTTCTTTTATAAAGTTAATAAGTTTTCTAGTTAAGCTTTGAGTTTTCTTTAAGGATGAAAAAGAGGTCTCTCTTTTTTTGTAAATAATCAAAGTCTAAGATATTAAAGGTTTATATCATAAGGCTGCAAAGATATAGGAATTAAAAATTTGGGTTTGTGGTAGAGACTCAAATCTTCGTATTCTCTAGGATTGACCCTAAAGAAGCTGTAAGTGATATTATCTGGGATACTGCAGAAACTCTGGTGCATCGTGCTACTCTCATGGAAACACAGTCTGATAGTGATAGGTAACTAGGGAATAAAAAGACCACTATTAGACTCAAATGTATTGAAAAGTTCAATAAACATGAACCACGTACCGTATCGGGAATTTCCTTTAATACAGTTGTTTTTCAAGCTAATGTTAAAACTTTTTGATTTTTAAAAGCATCAAATAAACATAAGATTGTTGTAATACTAATGTCGTCTTTATATTGCGTTGTCAAATATAAATACTGTACAACGTATAGTATACATATTACTTACATAATACATCTAACCATCTTTTTTTTTAAATAAAACGCCCCAAAAGATTACATTGAAAGCCCTTAATTGTAAAATTTCCAAATGATTTAGAGTTTTAAAGGGATTGTGAGCGTTATTTGAAATGACCTCCACTGCAAAGATGGCAAGGCCCTAGCTATTTACTACGGTACCCTTAAAAGCTTTGTCTGATCAAGTGTGAATTAGACATCAGTTTTTATGATTTTAAATTATTATTTTCAATTGTCTTTTCTCTACATAAGTGACTTAAGCATTTCTACTGCAGGGAAGCGTTAAGGAATTATTAGATGTTTTACCGTTTTAACCTAGAAAAACAACAATATCTTCAACATTGATAGATAAGATAAAGGTTTCCAGGGTGCTTCTGTGAATCGGGCATTGCCATCTTTGTATGGAAGGTCAATTGAAATTACGTTGTTCTTTTAAGTATTATGTCTAGGTTAGTTTTGTACTTATATGAACCATATATTTAATAAACCAAGAAATATCTTTAAAGAATATTGCATTCCTTGGATTCCTGTAATGATAAATAAACTCAGTATGATGTAAGCACATTATAGTGTGGTAACTTTATTTGTAGAAAAATGGTTGAAAAAGCTAAAGGGGGTTACTTTAAACTAACGTATGCAATCATAAATCTTGTTAATTGATAGCTATTAAATAGAGCAAATATTTTCCCTTGTATTTATTTCATGGAATATATTTCCTGGAATATATTTCCTGAAATATATTTCCTGGAATATATTTCCTGGAATATATTTCCTGGAATATATTTCCTGAAATATATATCCTGAAATATATTTCCTGAAATATATTTCCTGGAATATATTTCCTGGAATATATTTCCTGGACTTTACTTCCTGGAATATATTTCCTGAAATATATTTCCTGAAATATATTTCCTGAAATATATTTCCTGGAATATATTTCCTGGAATATATTTCCTGGAATATATTTCCTGAATTCAGATTACTCCGAGCACCAAGCCAGCATAAATCACTTCATCGATTGAAAAGTATGGAGGGAGGATTGAGAGCTGAATATAGAAAACAAAGTTTAGAAGCTCAACAAGATGCTTCTCCTCCTCCTCCCCCACCATCAGGTTTTGCACCTCCCCCTATATCCCTACCACAGCTAGAAACTCCTAAACCTAAAAACAAGATGAAAACCTTCAACTGGAGTAAACTGCCCGTTAACAAGATTTTTGGGAAGAACAATATCTGGGCGAAGGTTGCGAAAACTTTTGAGAAGGATAAGGAATCCCCCATAGGTTAGTTTTTACTTTTCTAAACCCAATTCCACAAATTTTTGTGTAAATCATCAATTATCAACAATAATGAGAACGTCTTCGTTTCTTAAAGAAAGTTGTTGTAGTGTTGTGTAACTCATAAAAGAAAATTTTCAGAGATAAAGCAATCGTAAATTAAGCATATATTTCTGATTAAAAAGAGATAAAGATCGTCTAATGTCGATCACAGGATGAAATTATCAATATTTTCTCAAGTGAACAGCACTATAAGATCTTAAAAGAATTAGTATAAAGTATATAAAGAGGTTAATGACACAAAACTAACCCCTGACCCTATACCTACTTGATGTGGTTGCGTGTATTAGTGCACAAACTATCTGTAAATTCCAGACACGCAATATTAATTATTTGCGTTTTTTATTTTTATATTCGTCGCGTTCACTTTCCAGGAGAAAAACAAAGTATTTAAGGCCTGTTTAATTTTTAAATTAACCCCACCTTCTATCACAATCACATTTTCTTAGATAAAGTTTTTCCTAATTTCAATTTTCAGTCACAAAAAACTAGGATTGTCCATGATCAAACAACTGCAGAATAATCCCTCTAAAGCTTTAATTTATCCAAACAATTTTGCTTTAATCCTTCAATCTTTAATTGTAACTGTTATGTCACTGAGAATGTGCCCGAGTTATAAATTTCAGGATCAAGCATTGAAATCTCTACACAGAATAATCAAATTCCATAATCGATATCTTTTCACGTTAATTATAGTGATTAGAAAATTTGAGTTTGTGGCAAAGACTCGACTCCTTTGTATGAGCATTAACAGTTATAGTTTTATTACTAATTCTAGCGCCATCTCAATGTTTAATCAAAAACGAAAATATTTATTTGCTATAATTTGTTTATGCAACATTCCTTGATGTTATTTTTGGAAATAATTTAGTCAATGAAAAGTAATTCGTTCTTATTTAATTTACAAAAATAGACCGCATTTTTAATCACATTTACAACAAAGAACCCTTCAAACCGGAACATTTATATTTTTGGATAAAAATGCTTTCTTTCGGCTTTTTATCTGCAGAATATATAGCTGTATTTTTTTACAACATTCCTGTTTCAACCCTTATCCATAACTGCAATAATTAATAAATTTTATTTTATTCAAAATCACGGTTGTTTTAATCTTAGTCCATTAAAAGATCCTATCATAATAAACATCCTCTTTTTAATCTTGACCAACTTTTTGTAATTCCAGTTTTTGATATCATTCCTGTTTTTAAACAACAATCCTGGTTTTGATCTTGACTCCTGATCTTGACTCTTGACCTTGACTCCTGATATTGACTCCTGATCTTGACTCTTGATCGTGACTCCTGATATTGACTCCTGATATTGACTCCTGATATTAACTCCTGATCTTGACTCCTCATATTGACTCCTGATATTGACTCCTGATATTAACTCCTGATATTGACTCCTGATCTTGACTCCTGATCTTGACTCCTTATCTTGACTCCTGATATTGACTCCTGATATTGACTCCTGATCTTGACTCCTGATATTGACTCCTGATCTTTACTCCTGATCTTGACTCCTGATCTTGACTCCTGATCTTGACTC